ACTTTTTATTTCGATATTCTTTAAAAACGTGTTTTTTCGTTTTTTAAACTATATTTATTCTAGTCCCACTCATAAATCAGCAGTGTAAAATGAAAACTATAAGCTACAGCTCTTCAAGCATTGAAAAACATTAAATAGTGTTATAAAATATCAAACTAATATCATTGAAGTTAATTAGTTTGGTGATCCAAAAATTTTTCTGAAAAAAGGTTGGTTGGGTAACAGGAACATTTTTTCTTAAAGAAAAAATTGTTTCCTTGTCGACGTTTACAGTTTAATTAAATTACTGAAGAAAAATTGGATTAAATTCGAAACGTCGGCAAGAAAACAATTGTTTTTTTAATAAACAATTGATCCTGCTACCCAACCAACCTTCCAATATTGACACATGGACAGCTAACAGCCTACCAAAGAATCGACCATTATATATTTAAGAATATCTTACTCTCATGGTTTTTTACGAATCCATCAAGAATGATTTCCCTCCAACTGCCATTTTTCGGAGGATCTTTTTCGGTGAATGGGCTGATCAAGGTCACATCGTGTCCAGCTTCGGCAAGACCTCTCATTAGAGCGTTATCTAGTATGTAATGGCTTGGTGAAGCACAAGGAAATACTCCCAGAATACGTGCACATTTATTCAATCTTATCAAAAACAGAATTATTGAAAGGATCGGTAATAACTTCACTAACATAGTGTCGAATCTGAACTGATTCAAGTGGATTTTTGTGCGTGACTAACATACTGTTTAGATACATGATAAAATTAAAAGCAGGTTTGTACTAGGTGATATTTTCATTTGTACAGAACCATTTCAAGGTACCTACAATCAATAGTTTGATCAATAAAAATATTGTTTCTATTAGTCGAAAATGTAAAAGCCTTGGTTCATGATTTCTTATGGATTTTGCTATAAATCAATAATGTACTACGTTTACGTAATGTTATATGTGTTAATGTAAATCGAAAGTCAACAGCCACTCTAGACTTGGAAGAGTTGAATCATTTTCACAAGCATACCTTTTCCAATATACTAAAAAAAAGTTGATGCAGTCAAGCTGCTGGAAAATAATAATAATAATAATGTATTCTCCTTTTCTTTTAAATTTTTTGTACATACATATGACACAGTGCAGAAGGAAAGCGGGGAAAGGGAATAAATAAGCAAACGTACAGAAGATCAATTCTGTGCGTAGGGAATTAGACGGGGAGGTTCAATTGAATCTGAAGTTC